AGTGTGCAGTACCTTAAACGCTAATAAAAGATCTTACTGTAGGTGAGGCCTTTTATTAGTGTCTACGATTCTGACCGCATATGTTTGTGGACGCAACCACGATACAAGAAAAAATCCTAGGGTAGAGCAACGTTTAAAAAATGTATGTGTTAGTCTCTGATAATAATATTACAATTATGAAATAAAATACTATATTTACTACCAAATACTACAAAAACACAGAAATATTTTTAAATAATTAGTTATACTGTTGTATCTGAAAAAAATTAGTTTAATTCCATTAACATTTTTTTACAAATAATAAATAAACATGCACGTAGGATTTTTAAAATCCAAGAATCTGAAATGCACTGTATTAAAATTACATAATTAATTGTAAAAAATATAATATTACCATAAACAACAAAATACAGAAATGTAAAGCATTTTTAAAACAACACAAAACATCTGAAAGAAATTGTTTGTTTTACACTACGATGATTCAATAAAATATTAAAAAAATACACCAAGTACAATAGTCGACAAAAACGCAAAAACACAAAGGATTTGTAAATCATTATCATTAGAAATATTTGGCTAAATACGAGTAGTTCCTTGTTCGTTTAAGTCTAGTTTTTATTTTTATCACTTAATTGCAAAGTTGTTTAATCTATAATTGGCTACTGTATAAGCCCAATATCTATTGTTACCATTGTTATTTCTTAATACTCTGTATACAGAAGCTGTTGGTATACTTATTTAAATAAATAAATAAAAAATAGTTGACGGTTATAGTTTTATACGAAAAGAACACAATATATTATGTAGTTCTGTTTTACTTGGAAAGTTCCTCGGGAGTTTTGCAAATCGGCAATTTTATAAATCTTTTAGATTTTTATTTTGCACTATTTTACGTGCGCCGTTCGCGCGGCCACCTTGGTAAAATGCCCTACAACGGTGCAAAATAGAAATCGAAACGGGCACATCAAAATCTACAAAACTGACGATTTTCAAAACTCCAGGTAACCCCCATATTTCCTACTTAATTATCGCACTAATAATAATGAAAGATTTTTAAAATCATACGAAAATCTGAAAAGAAAGTGTGTTAGTCTTACTACAAAACAATTTAGAAATATGTAGGTATATAATTGATAGTTACAATTTTATAGAGGTACAAAAAAAACACATAACAATGAAGGATTTGTTTATATTAAAACTCTCGTGGAACATACTAATTAATTATTATGTTTTCAGCTACGGCCTAGCAGCGCGACAGTCGCCGCGTCGGTCGCGGAAAAATAGTCGAGTTCCTCGTCAAATATGATATTTTTATCTATTGTTTAGTAGTCCATCGACTATCAAGCCAAACCATATGAACACAGAATTATATCTTCTACATTTGCAACGTAAGTACTGTTGAACCGTTAAAGAGGTAGCTACATGTTCAATTCATAAAATAATAATAACACTTCTATTGAACAACTAGCCAGAGATGTCGAAGCCCCCCCGGAGAAGTGTGCAGTACCTTAAACGCTAATAAAAGATCTTACTGTAGGTGAGGCCTTTTATTAGTGTCTACGATTCTGACCGTAGATGACGTCTTGTTTTTCTTCTGGATCTTCTTGAAAAATTTTTTTGAAGTCGAATCCCCCCATAGAAGTCTGCAGGACCTTAAACGCTAATAAAAGATCTTACTGTAGGTGAGGCCTTTTATTAGTGTCTACGATTCTGACCATAGATGACGTCTTGTTTTTCTTCTGGATCTTCTTGAAAAATTTTTTTGAAGTCGAATCCCCCCATAGAAGTCTGCAGGACCTTAAACGCTAATAAAAGATCTTACTGTAGGTGAGGCCTTTTATTAGTGTCTACGATTCTGACCATAGATGACGTCTTGTTTTTCTTCTGGATCTTCTTGAAAAATTTTTTTGAAGTCGAATCCCCCCATAGAAGTCTGCAGGACCTTAAACGCTAATAAAAGATCTTACTGTAGGTGAGGCCTTTTATTAGTGTCTACGATTCTGACCATAGATGACGTCTTGTTTTTCTTCTGGATCTTCTTGAAAAATTTTTTTGAAGTCGAATCCCCCCATAGAAGTCTGCAGGACCTTAAACGCTAATAAAAGATCTTACTGTAGGTGAGGCCTTTTATTAGTGTCTACGATTCTGACCATAGATGACGTCTTGTTTTTCTTCTGGATCTTCTTGAAAAATTTTTTTGAAGTCGAATCCCCCCATAGAAGTCTGCAGGACCTTAAACGCTAATAAAAGATCTTACTGTAGGTGAGGCCTTTTATTAGTGTCTACGATTCTGACCATAGATGACGTCTTGTTTTTCTTCTGGATCTTCTTGAAAAATTTTTTTGAAGTCGAATCCCCCCATAGAAGTCTGCAGGACCTTAAACGCTAATAAAAGATCTTACTGTAGGTGAGGCCTTTTATTAGTGTCTACGATTCTGACCATAGATGACGTCTTGTTTTTCTTCTGGATCTTCTTGAAAAATTTTTTTGAAGTCGAATCCCCCCATAGAAGTCTGCAGGACCTTAAACGCTAATAAAAGATCTTACTGTAGGTGAGGCCTTTTATTAGTGTCTACGATTCTGACCATAGATGACGTCTTGTTTTTCTTCTGGATCTTCTTGAAAAATTTTTTTGAAGTCGAATCCCCCCATAGAAGTCTGCAGGACCTTAAACGCTAATAAAAGATCTTACTGTAGGTGAGGCCTTTTATTAGTGTCTACGATTCTGACCATAGATGACGTCTTGTTTTTCTTCTGGATCTTCTTGAAAAATTTTTTTGAAGTCGAATCCCCCCATAGAAGTCTGCAGGACCTTAAACGCTAATAAAAGATCTTACTGTAGGTGAGGCCTTTTATTAGTGTCTACGATTCTGACCATAGATGACGTCTTGTTTTTCTTCTGGATCTTCTTGAAAAATTTTTTTGAAGTCGAATCCCCCCATAGAAGTCTGCAGGACCTTAAACGCTAATAAAAGATCTTACTGTAGGTGAGGCCTTTTATTAGTGTCTACGATTCTGACCATAGATGACGTCTTGTTTTTCTTCTGGATCTTCTTGAAAAATTTTTTTGAAGTCGAATCCCCCCATAGAAGTCTGCAGGACCTTAAACGCTAATAAAAGATCTTACTGTAGGTGAGGCCTTTTATTAGTGTCTACGATTCTGACCATAGATGACGTCTTGTTTTTCTTCTGGATCTTCTTGAAAAATTTTTTTGAGGTCGAATCCCCCCATAGAAGTCTGCAGGACCTTAAACGCTAATAAAAGATCTTACTGTAGGTGAGGCCTTTTATTAGTGTCTACGATTCTGACCATAGATGACGTCTTGTTTTTCTTCTGGATCTTCTTGAAAAATTTTTTTGAGGTCGAATCCCCCCATAGAAGTCTGCAGGACCTTAAACGCTAATAAAAGATCTTACTGTAGGTGAGGCCTTTTATTAGTGTCTACGATTCTGACCATAGATGACGTCTTGTTTTTCTTCTGGATCTTCTTGAAAAATGTCTTTGAAGTCGAAGCCCCCATAAGAAGTCTGCAGGACCTTAAACGCTAATAAAAGATCTTACTGTAGGTGAGGCCTTTTATTAGTGTCTACGATTCTGACCATAGATGACGTCTTGTTTTTCTTCTGGATCTTCTTGAAAAATGTCTTTGAAGTCGAAGCCCCCATAAGAAGTCTGCAGGACCTTAAACGCTAATAAAAGATCTTACTGTAGGTGAGGCCTTTTATTAGTGTCTACGATTCTGACCATAGATGACGTCTTGTTTTTCTTCTGGATCTTCTTGGAAAATTTTTTTGAAGTCGAATCCCCCCATAGAAGTCTGCAGGACCTTAAACGCTAATAAAAGATCTTACTGTAGGTGAGGCCTTTTATTAGTGTCTACGATTCTGACCATAGATGACGTCTTGTTTTTCTTCTGGATCTTCTTGGAAAATTTCTTTGAAGTCGAAGCCCCCCGGAGAAGTCTGCAGGACCTTAAACGCTAATAAAAGATCTTACTGTAGGTGAGGCCTTTTATTAGTGTCTACGATTCTGACCGTAGATGATGTCTTGTTTTTTCTTCTTGCTTGATCTTCTTGGAAAACGTTTTCGAAGTTGAAGCCGCCAGTAGAAGTCTGCAGAACCTTAAACGCTAATAAAAGATCTTACTGTAGGTGAGGCCTTTTATTAGTGTCTACGATTCTGACCGTAGATGTCTTTTTTTATTTAAAGTATTTATTAACAATGTATAAACCTTTTACATTTTACATTTCAGTTTACATAAAATACATACATTGTAAAAATATAAATGGGTATAAGTTGAAATTAGGGATATTTGTATATTAGAACGTGATAATATAATTGTACCTAATTATAAACAGGACACAATTCCAGAGGCCTTGCTATTAGATAAGTACGGCGAATTTTTGAAAACGAAATATTTAAAGAACTCTCTTAGTTGGTATTAGTACCTTTGACCTTTCTTTGACCACTCGACTAACAAGGCGTTATTTACTTAATGTTTTTTCCTATTACCGATATTTAAAATCGTTCAAAGTTTCACCGGACGTGACCAGAAGTTACAATGCTCGGCGTTGCACTATTCTTATGAGATTCCATCACTAATCAATATAACTGTGATGTGACCATGTTTTGCGTGCTTGTGTTTTGTTTTTTTTGTTGCAAATTCGGAAAACAACGTATTTTGCCGCGATATCCTCGTCGCAACTGCAGCTTATTCATTACACAATGTATTTGCCAAACATCCGAGACGTCCTCGCCGCAACTGCAGCGTCAAATACAAATCATCGAATGACTGCTCCCGCCTGGGTGAGGCGGGAAGGAGTGTCAGACTCTTCTTACTGACTAAAAACCACCCCGTTCTTTCTCCTGCACGTTGAGCCGGAGCCCCGGTAACCTGTTAGGTTCTCCGCGACACCCGCTACGCTTAGAGGATACTTGCAATCCGCTAGCATAATCAGGTCTTAATTCTAAAATAAACTTTAGTTACTACGTCACTAACCTGTATCTAAACACAGCAGACCTCGGCAACAGTCGCCGTTGGTAGAACATGGAGCGCTGTAGCAGTGCGCCGGCTCATCAATGACGTCATCGATGCGATTGCCCTCCAACGCCTCCGCGTATACTTCTTCGGGCTCCTGTCAAAGACATAAAGATTAGGATATGATATTACAGAATAGGGAGGTACATGAGCCGATGGATCACCTGATGGTTAGCAATCGGTGCCGCCCTTACCTGCCTGTTAACCCACTAAATAAAAATTAAATTTTGGCATATGCGGATTACAAGCATGTGCTGCTTTCGTCCGTGCGTCACTGCCAACTGAAAATCAGTGTTGGGTGCTCATTGTGTACAGCTTTTTGCTTAATTGGCGACCCATTCGGCTTGGGCATGTCTGCCAACACCGCACAGTCTGTTATATCAATTTTTATTATCTTGTTTTAGTTTTACAATTTAGCTTTTTACCTTTTTGTCTCTTAAAGATTTATTTTGTCCAGTAATACTTTGCCCGACCGGTGTATCAAACCCGAGACCCCTTGCCCGGCAGTCGCACTTGCGACCACTTGGTCAACGAGGCAGTCAAGTTTAGTATGGATCATGAACAGTAATTAAGGAGCAAAGTTCTAACATGTTCCACACAGCTAATCCGACGTGCTATAAATAACAATTAATAAGGATTACCCTAATGCCCTTTACGCCTAATATAATATAATGCGCACGACGGTAAATGTCACGGATTTGCGCGTAAACAAAGATAGGTTACGGGATTTTATATCCCTGTTCTAATTAATTTATGGGGATTTAATACGTGGGAGATTTAATGGCAGGAGTATTTTATGGATATGTAACTTTATATTATGATGATGATGAATTTTGATGCGTAAAAATGTTGATTATTCGACTGAATATTTGATCATTCAATGTCATACTGGCTTCTGCCAGCGGCCTCGCCCGCGAGAGTCTACCATAAAAGATAGACATATGCTGTTGCAAAATATTTTTTAGATAATTTTATGTAGAACATTTCCGTCATACATGATTTCTATGTAGCTTTAACCATTAAGGCTGCACACGCGACGGAAGCTTAAAAAATGGAGTATCTTCTCCCGTTTTCTCAACATTTCCCTTCACTGCTCTGCTCCTATTAATTACAGTGTGATGGAAAGTATACTATAACCTTCCCAGGAGTATGAAGAATAATTGTACCAAGTTTCGTTAAAATCCATTGAGTACTTTCTGTTTCTATAAGGAACATACAGACAGACAGACAGACAGACAGAGACAAAAATGTTCCTAATTGCATTTTTGGCATTAGTATCGATCACTAATAGGTACACTAGGGGGGGGGGAGTTATTTTGGAAAGACTTTTTATCTATATTTTTTAAAAAGAGAAATACGCATTGCCTTTCCCGTGATTAAAACCTCGGTTTGATAAAGCAATACACATAAAATCACGTCTTTTAATGAATGAAGGGCCGAGGTGCACACAGACAATGTAGGTAATTAAGTGTGGGAGAGCCATGCTTCGGCAAGAATGGGCCGGCTCGACTGGAGTGATACCACGGCCGAGCAGAAAACCTACGTGAAGCAACGCTTGCATTATGTTTCGTCGTGTGAGTGAGGTTACAGGAGGCCTAATTACCCACCTCCCCAATGTCTGAATCACCAATAACCTTAAAATTCCTAATGCCCATATGCCCGGTAACGCACTTGTAACGCCTCTGGGGTTTCGGTTGTCAATGGACGACGCCAATTGCTTACCATCAGGTGATCCGTCTGCTCCACTGTTTACTGTAATACTAGCGTAAAGTGAGATATTATTTAGATGAAGAAAAATTGCGGCCTCTGTGCTATTACCATTTAGGTACTGAGAAATCCCGACAAACAGAAAAAACCCAAGAACATTTTGTCCGGCCTGGCAATTAACCCGAGTAGAGAACATTATGAGTTGAGGCAGTCGAATACGATGTACTATTAAAAAGTGTTTAAAACCCTTAATTAACAATAATCTTACCTGCCCATAAGGATAATGGCGGTAGGGTGAGCGCCCGTAGCCCAAGTTGGCCAGCATATCGGAGCTGAACCGGTTGAAGAGGCCGCCCCACGCGTGGGCAGCGCCGGCCAAGCTCAGCACCAGCACCGCGCTAATGGCTACCGTGGTGCTGTGGACAAACAAACTCGTTAAACACCTTGGATAAGTTAGAAACCAGCAAAATCAGAGCTTGCGTTGTGTTTCGTCGTGTGATCGAAGTTATTGGAGACTTAATCCGCCTCCCTCATCCCGAGGTCCCAGATCCTCAAAATCTTAAACCCTAAATGGCCCTTCACCGCAATAGCAAACTCGTTTAGGGTTCCATGGGTGGCGCCATATACTTCTACATATGTACTTCTTTACCACCAGGTGATTTATCACCTTATTTACCGCTATATACTAAAAATGCCCGGTCACCGTAAGCACGGTCCTGCGTACGGAGCGTCGCGTTCCGCGCGCGCCTCAAAGAACCATCAGACCACCACGAATGGGGCCCAATAGGGCTGATGCCGATACGGAGCCGCGGAGGACTCAATGGGTTGCTGGGGCTCCGGTTCGAAGTGCAGGAGTAAAAACGGGGTGGTTTTTAGTCAGTAAGAGTCTAAACTCCCTTTCGCCTCACCCAGGCGGGAGCAGTCGTTCGATGATTTCCCCCGTTAAAAAAATACCAAACAATGCATAATAATTCAAGCAGATCAATTGCTGGATCAGAGTTGTATTATTTGAGGATCTCCTGGTTATACAAAATTTTTCATTAATATTAGCATGGATTCTATTATGTGGCAATAAGCTCACCCCTATTAGATAGATGAGGATCATAATTAAACCTGAAAAGTTCGTGTTATGTATATCATACAGTCAACAACCAATTACTATTCAATTTAACTAACACTTTCAACTCTATACACAGACTTTGAATTAATCAATTAATTGGATTCAATCAAGCAATTTGTTTTCATATTATTCCATTTGATTGAAAACGTATCAATTTGTAGTACTGAAGCACCAATTAACAGTGGTTTATCGATGTGTGTGTGTTTTCCAAGAATTGAGAATATTAAGAATTGTTTCGTATTGTCTGTAGGTACATTATTTTCTTATATTTTGATGATTTTTGTTATTTTCTTTACGCTTTTATGTTTGTTATTAATATAATGTATTTATGTAAGTATCTGTATTTTTTATTTTTCATAATCTTTGTTTGTGTGCCATTTGCCAAATAAATGCTTTCTTTCTTTCCTTCTTTCTAAGGTATTGAATTGCTTTTTTAACCGACTTCCCAAAAAGGAGGAGGTTATCGATTCGACAGTATGTTTTTATTGTGTGTATGTTACCCGATTACTTCGGCGTTTGTGGATGGATTCATTTTTATGGTGGAAAGGTCATACCCTCGGGGTCGATGATGAGATCCTATGGGAACTGAGGGAAACTTTTCAAAATTGTATGGACGATAAGATCGAACCGATTTTTATGCCGTTTCCAGAAAAGTGTTACCACTTTTTAAGGGGGAAAACCAGCGAATGACTGCTCCCACCTGGGTGAGGCGGGAGGGATTGTCAGACTCTTACTTACTAAAAACCATCCCGTTCCTACTCCTGCCCTTCGAGCCGGACAACCCGTTAAGTTCTCCGCGGCTCCGTATCGGCATCAGCCCTATTGGGCCCCATCCGTGGTGGTCTGATTAAACTGTCAAACACCAAGCGGTCACCGGTGACCGCAACCTATTGTTCTATAATTGTGTCTACAAAACCGGTACTCGACGAGTTAACGTTATCCAGCTTATCGTTAACCAGCTCATAAAAAATATATATGAAAACATCTACTCTGACGTCATCACACGCCGCGAGGCAGTCAGTACCATGAAATATTTCTATAGTATCAACGATTCGAAGTCTTCAGGGACCCCAAAGAGCCTTGTTTTCATGCATTATAAATCATGTAGCATTTACTTTATATTCTGAGGCTTCTTAGGAATGAAACCGTTTGAAATATCCTTAGGGAGCTATTGTACTTTGGGTAAGTTTCGAGTCTTTAAGTAATATGAAAGGGTTTAGTAAGTTGAAGGTCATATTTTCGTTCTTAACATAACATAACATCACGCCTTTTATCCCGAAGGGGTAGGCAGAGGTGCACATTATGCCACTGTACAATGTAACACCCACTTTTCACTATTTATGTTACGAGTCCCATGTAATAGGGGGTGAGCCTATTGCCATATACCGGGCACAATTCCAGACTCCGTGCTACTACTGAGATTTTTTTAAAAACCCAGTAATACTTTGCCCGACCCGGGAATCGAACCCGGGACCCCTTGCTCGGCAGTCGCACTTGCGACCACTCGGCCAACGAGGCAGTCAGTTATTCGGTAATTTGTTAGTCAGCGAATTTTTCGACAGTTTTCTAATCTCTTTGTTATAAGTCCGGTGTTGTTTTTTTTTTAAAGGGGGAAATCATCATATGACTGCTCCCGCCTGGGTGAGGCGGGAGGGAGTGTCAGACTCTTACTGACTAACAACAACCAATAAACGCGACGATAGCTCTTGTCGATGTGATAAAATAAAAATGCGAGTGGACTGTATATAAAATGTAATGACTAGTATAAGAGCGGAATAACAAGATGTAGATAAGAATTTAGTAACAAGTAAAAAAAATGCGTAAGCGCAGCCGTGCGTCTAAGCATGCAACAGCTGACTGGCGCGACGCGGGGCGCGGGCTCGGCTGTAGACCGGCCGGCGAGCCGCAGCCCCCCCGCGTCCCTCGTTCACTGCCGCTGGTGCGCGGGCGCGCCCGGCGTTGTTGAGACAGGTGCCTCAACATACTCCCCCCGTTGAAGAGTCTTCAACAGTGGAGACCGGCAGCGGGCAGATGGTGTTGAAGGCGCGCCGGATGACACCCTTCTTGGTGAGGATGTCGGCGACCCTGGCGACGCCATCTCTGCCGGGTAAAACGTGTGTGATGCGTCCTAAGAGCCACATAAGAGGAGGTAAGTTATTGTCCTTTATGACGACCATAGTTCCCTCCTTGAGCTCGCCGGAGGACCGACGCCACTTCGTTCTCTCCTGTAACCACATGATGTATTCATGCGCGAAGCGAGTCCAGAAATGTTGTTTCAATACGTCAATGCGATGAAAGCGTTTTAGGCTGTTGATGTTGGCGTTTTGGACCTCGTTCGCGGAATCCCCCTCCAGAAGCTTCCTTGCGCCGCTGATCAGCTGCCGTGCAGAAGCCACTAAGCTGTAGTACAACTTTTCGAACTCCTCGCGCTCGGCATATTGCTCGCTGGGGTCCTCCACCAACGCCTCCAATTCATCGGTTTTATGCTGTCAACCTCTGATGAGCTCATGAGCTGATGACTGTCCGAAGAGTAGACCGACGTGTAAACTCGAGGAGTCTTCTTGTTCCGAAGTCTCGGTGATTTTTTCTTGCGCCGCCCGTTGGATGTGCACTCGATGAAGACGACTGCTGCCGTATCGATGCTCACGATGATCAAATGCAGGCGATGACACGAAGAATATGATGATCACTTGCGAAACTTGAACTCGAAGACGAAGTCTATTGTTCTCCAAGCGACGGTTGAAAACCGTTGGACCGTTGATTTTTGAAATTTTGAAAAATTTCCGTTGCCGACGACTTTCTTTGTTCGGTTCAAACGTTAACGGTAGAAGGACCAATAAAGTCGTCGGTTTTCGTACCGGGCTCCATGCTATTGAGAATTTTCGACAACCGCATTCTATTTTGGTTGATTTGGAATTTGAATTTATTTTGTTTTTTTATTTTAGTAAGTTTTGTAATTTGTATAATGCGTCAAGCGTATCCTTGCATTGTTCTCACATATACATACAGTATCGGAATATGTATCAGAGACATTATAGAACATACTTTTTTTTAAAGAGCAACGAATGAAATTTTTTGCTCGTTCTTCTCCATTCGAATCTACATTTCGAAATGAGCACCTAGCTTCACCTAGCTTTACTGACGGACTGACTGACAGACTACTATTTACTTTGTATTTGTTGACGTTTCAAGAGTCCCAAATTATGGTTTAATTGAAATAAATGCTTTGATATTGACTTTTTTCAGTAGTTGGGTTTAAAAAAAAAGGAAATGTCTATTTATCATCCAAATCGAACCCGATCTCCGTCAACGAAATTAAGACTACCGAAAACAAATACCACCATTTTTTTGAACGAGTGCTTAACGCCCAACTTCACTGACTTCAGATAGATGGACAATTCAATTATTTACGTTTCAAAAGTGTTTAATTAAGGATTAATTGAAATAAATGCTTTGACTTTGACTTTAACTTAAGCCTTAAAAAATAATAATATAACAATGCTAACAATATTTTTATAATAACTATCGTGAGACATACTAAATTAACTAAAAATCGCGGGTTACTCATAGAAAGCACAGTCGCGCAGCCTACTGAGTAGGTTAGACATCGCCGCGACCGCGGTGCTCATGAGGAACAACCCCTCTGTGGTTCAAAACTAGTATATACCTTTCTCAGTATACTCACGTGAGTAACCCGCGATTTTTAGTCAATGCCTAGGTACCTACATTTTTAAGAAAAAATAAGTAATCTTTATAGGTACTACCTATACTAACAGAAAATAAAAAATGACCCACTTTTTTTTAAGGGGGGAAAATCATCGAATGGCTGCTCCCGCCTGGGCGGGGCAGGAGGGAGTGTCAGACTCTTACTGACTAAAAACCACCCCGTTCCTTCTCCTGCACGTGGAGCCGTGCCCCCTAAGGGCACAATACGTATAAAAAACCTATTCAGTATTTTCTTTAAAATATTCACTTTAAGTACACATAAAAGCTTCAGCTGGCATAAATTATGTTTTATTAAAAACGCCTTAATGAATAGTTGAGCCTACATTTACGACACAGAGACGTTTTCAGGCGAATTTCATTAATAAACCTCTAGGGGGTATAAATTTTCTTAAGAAGATTGTATTTAATTATTAAAATCCCGCTCAATGACTCCCTAAGGGGGTCAACCGAAGCTTTCATGGAAGAAGGTTGTTTAAGATCAATGTGGGGTCAAAGATCAAAAAGGGGGTGGGGTCGTTTCGTTTTATTTATGACTAGCGGACCCGGCGAACTTCGTATCGCCTCAAACAT